TTTTTACCTGAATAAATTCAAAAGAAAGGTTAAGTTAAAATATTACATATATGGGGCACTATGGATCACAGTCCACAGTGCCCCATATGAAATGAGTTCACAGTACCCCACAAGGTGAAATCAAAAACAATGACTGAAACTACTATCTAAAATAATCGTGACGCAATAGAATTACCACAATTTACGTAGCTCATTAAATGGTTATTAGAAAAAAAACAAACAAATAAACATTTTGAATGGCTAAGTTTGTTAAAAAGATTCACAAAATAACATCGAGAAAAAAAAATGGCGGCTTACGTTTCGCGGAGCGGCCGCAGCGCGACCTCCTGCAGTGAGAGCGTGGCGGTGACTGGCGGGAGGGAGGGGTGTTGGATAGATCACGCGATCGTTCGAAGTGAGAGTGTGTGTGTAATGAATAGCGCGCGAGATATTAGTGACTAACCACTGTGCCCCCTGATTCACACTGCCCCCCACTCCCCTACCTATAAAATATTATTTCTTTAACAGACCTTAATTATTTTTAACTTTTTAGTTATATTTATTACCGAGCATTAAAAGTATTTTATTTACTATATTTCGCCTTCCCTTGACGTCGTTTTTTTTGAGCAGAAGTTTCTTTATTATTTATGTTGTTCCTACAAGTATATGACATAAACGGTTCAGCCCACCAGAAATCCATATCTCATTAGATATGCAACCCCATTGGGTTGGATACGAATATTACCAAAGTACTCATCAAGACTAATGAAACGAGCCCAAACTCGATGCGGTTACGTAGTTTTATTTCGAAAATCCTATATAGTCACCTTCCAGCTTCATCATCAGACCCTGTTTACCATATGAGACCATAGTACCTCGTCAAGACGAATCAATCTTATGAGCCCAAAATCGATGGCGTTATGTCGTTTTATAACGGAGTTCCTATGGGTAGTTCCTATTTTTTGCTACTAGCTCTGAATCTATTCTAATCTTTAATATATTATTTGATTGCGATGTTGCTAGTTGGGAATGTAAATTAAACGGCCTTGGTTGACTTTATTGTAGACTAGCGGCCCGCCCTCGCTTCGCTTCGGTGTAGAGCTGAAGTGTACACTATAGTTTTTTTTCTCAGGCTTGTATTAAACACAATGACATTCATCTATGATTCTTCTTATACCTGCATGCAAAGTGTCAGCCCGATTGGTTTAAAATTGACAAAGTTTCATACAAACTTTCATTCCCTATTTTATCCCCTTGGGGGTAGAATTGATCAAAATCCTTTCTTAGCGGATGCCTACGTCATAACATCTACCTGCATGCCAAATTTCAGCCCGATCCGTCCAGTGGTTTGGGCTGTGCGTTGATAGATCACTATGTCAGTCAGTCCCCTTTGACTTTTATATACATATATAGATAAAAACGGTAATTTTTATTACCTGTATTTATAATAATCAAACTAAAATTCTCATATTTACGTTATATAATCGGAATGCTCCGAACTGCTAAGCTATCAGGAGTTACACGTGTTATTGTGAGTCAACCATAAAAGATAGACATATGCTGTTGCGGGATATTTTTTAGACAATTTTATGTAGAATATTTCCGTCATACAAAATTTCTATGTAACTTTAACCATTAAGGCTGCACACGCGACGGAAGCTGAAAAAATGGAGTAACTTCTCCCGTTCTCCCAACATTTCCCTTCACTACTCTGCTCCTATTGATTGTAGCGTGATGAAAAGTATACTATAACCTGCCCAGGAGTATGAAGAATAATTGTACCAAGTTTCGTTAAAATCCGTCGAGTAGTTTTTGTTTCTATAAGGAACATACACACAGACAGACAGACAGACAAAATTTTTACTGATTGCATTTTTGGCATCAGTATCGATCACTAATCACCCCCTGATAGTTATTTTGAAAATATATTTCTTGTACAGAATTGACCTCTCTACAGATTTATTATAAGTATAGAATATTTCGTAATTTATTTACAGCTTTAAATAAACAGCCTGGTGACAGACAGACAGACGCACATTAGTGGATTCTTCTTCTTCTAAACCCTAAACAGAAGAGGAGTTTCATATATTAAAAGCAGCTAGTGAAATTAATGTGACGAAAATTATTATTGACTTTGTATAAACAAAGTAGGTACAAATTATATGACACTACCGCAAGGCACACTCATTAAGAAAAACAAGATCACTATGTATATATATGTATTATTAGCTGAACATTCCATTTGGTTTTTTTTAATTTCATTCACTGTAACTAAAATCCGAGGTTTTCATGTATTTAACGCCCGGGCTGCACTATATTTAATCTTAGATTTTCCCTCATAGATAAGTAGTCTTCTGTAATATTCGCATATAAATAAACCCAACCTACTTCATTCTTAGTTCTAAGCTATTTGCTTTGTCTAGATGTTCAGGTCCTGTTATTTTCCTATGACATGGGTTATTGAAGGAAAATATTTGTTAATAATTGATCACGTGTACCTACCTAAAAATTCTTTAAATCTGTTAAATGTTCAATATTTATGGGTTCCTCTTTTTTAGGATGCAAGGACTAGGGAAGTAAGAACCTTATCTCCGGCGCTGCGGGAATAGCAGCCCCTCCGCCTTTGCGTGACAAAGTCACAAACATTACTCCCCTTCACGCCTTCGGCTTGTTGGTCGCACGATGCTTGCGTCTTTGTCACAGCAGGCGGGGGCTGCTCTCCCTCCGCGCCTCCGGGCTCTAAAGAACACTCTAGGGGTAGAGCAGACCAAGACCACGGCGTGTCGGGGTTGACCAAGTCGGTTCTGAATTAAACATTGTTGTAAAGCCACATTTACCTATTTTTCTAAGTGTTGAGCCCATACTATTTTTTATTTACCAAGATCTCAAAGCAAACACAAAATGGCGAAACATCTGTCATTTTGACAATAGTACCAACATAATAAACATATTTTTACCACAAACAACGAGAAACATGTAATTTTTGCATGATTAGTAAACTGAAAAAAATCAACAGAAATATCTAATTAAGGACTGTTCAAGAAAGTCATTAAGTTTAGAATTATTTATTCCTGCAAGATGAGCTTTTGTGACATTTGGAATTGTAAAGAATGTTTGATTTCTTGCATTTACATCGTTTTGAAGTTATTCATACTGCCCGGTCCAAGTGATAAATTCAAGCTATCTCAAACACTGACTTATTACATGGACTACGGGCCGTCGGGCATTATTAATAATGGCCGGTCAAAGTGATAAATTAATAACATTGGCCATCGCTCTTGGGCATTATTAATAATGGCCGGTACTTATTTATAATGCCCAGTTAATCACGTTGCCCGTAACATACATATTCACGAGAAAAATATGTCATCCAAAATTCCAATTTGGGGCACGGTACCCAGAACACTGGCAGCATTTCCTCGCTGAATAGCTAAACTAATCTCTGCGCGAAATAGCTGCCAGCCCTCTGATCACCCGAAGAGAGAATCAGTCGATTCGACATATCCTTCATAAACAATTAGAATCACCACTTCATTTAGAATATCTACTATTTTTTACTCCCATTTACTAATAAATCATAGAAATACGATCGACATACTGGAAAAGTAAAAGTAACTTTATGCTATACCTTCTCAGAAAGTGTTTTATTCTTGTTTTGAATATGAAGCAGAAAAGACCTCATTACTGTGGTAACTACTAAGCGGGCTAGAAAAGTGTATTGAAATCCGTTTTTAACGCGCTGAGCGGGCAGAAAAGTTTATGGAAATTCATTGTTAAAGTGCTGTTTTTTTTTAATTTATGTTCAGAAAAGTAGTCAGTATGATTTTATGAGGTCAAGTTTGTTCTATTGTACCAAAGAGATTTCCTACAATTATATTGTAGTAGAGCTTCGTATTAAGGTTTTTACTATCTAACGAGTTACGAGGAAAACCGTCGGAAACGTTCTGATATAGCAATAACGTGGCAATAATCCAGGCACTAATGCTGCAGGTTTGGCGACCATTAAAATTGCAAATTACATTGTAAAGCCGGTTTACTGTGGTCTGCGCGTCGTAATATAAGAAACATAATATTATGCCGGCGAAATTGACGTCAAATTCATAAGCGTGCCACGGTTCTTCGAATTAATCACAGTACTTTTTTTATTTCATCCATACCAAGATTATTAATGCGATAGTGTGTCTGTCTGTCTGTTACCTCTTCAATTATAAACCGCTTATTAAGGTAGATATAGTTTGATTCCCGGGAAAGAACATAGGGTAGTTTTTATTTCTGAAATCATATTTTATAGGGGTTTCACGGGAGTGGAAGTTTTTTTAGGAAACCAATTAAAATAAATCACGCAGGCGAAGTCGCGGGCACTTACTAACAGTCTTTGACTTCAAGTAAGAGGTAAGCCTATATACGTTGACACTTATATATTGGTTTCATGTTTTGTTTGAGATAATAATACCAAACTTTCAAACAAAAATTATTTGAAATCAAATTGTAGTCTACAATATAAGAATTATAACGTAAAAACGACGCAGAATATCAAGATACTCGATCACGAAGTGTTAAACCCAAGGAATTTATATACCTAGAGTAAGTAGTTACCGTTATGTAAGATAAATACCTCGGTTTAACCAAAGCAAAAAATTTCTAACACACGTCATTAGCTTTATTTTTGATAATATGCTGAAAAAAAAATTACCATAACTTCTAAAAAAAATTGCAGTTCGCCTGATACGCTATCTTTAACATGTGAAAAACCTAATAATTTAAGTTACTTTTATTATTTGAAATATATAAATAAAATATTGAAGAAGACACAAGATCTATGTATAGACTTGACAATTTGCAAAATTGTTGTGTGATCACAAACATTACTTGGCATTGAAAATTAGATCACTGTTTTACTAAAGTTAGAATCGAGTTTAGCGTGGGAGCTTGATGTTTATTTTTTGCTCGAGCGTTAGGGGGCTTTCCTCGTTGCCGTTGCGTATGTTGGTTTCGTCATTCATAGTGTCTCCTCTAGTAGTGTCCATTAAAAACAGTTATCACGGACCATTCGCGTCAAATCGTGTTGGAGCGCGGCTGGAGAAGCTGTGTCTCACGTTTTTCCATTCGCCGTTTTGTGTGACAAAAATTGCAACAGTGAACATTTTTCAAAATATTGTTTAGTGTCCGAAAGCTGCTTTAGTCACACAAAAGTAAGTGTTTCTTATATTTTTAGTAATTTCATGACATTTTTCAGCTCTTAGTTCTTCTTTTTTCTTTGAGTTCTTTTATTTTTGAGATGGAATGAAAAATTTTCATAAAAGATTTTTTTTTTTTATAATAAAAGTCATTGCAGTCTAAAGTAAGCATTTTTAATATTGGAGTTTCAATTATCTTTAATAATAAAAAAAGAACGTATCAGTATCATTCTTTTTTAGCGAGGTCTTTGGTTAAATATTAAGATATATAAAGTTCGAATGACATAGTACATAAGTGGCAAAAGCTTAGTTGTTTTAATATACCTATAAGTTTAAAATAAGTTGAGATGAAAATGCATTCAGTGTCAGTTATTGAAACCCAACAGTAAAACTACTAATATTTTCTTAAGGATCATTTAAAATATTTTATTTATAATTAATTAACAGAAAGCCTCTAAAGAAAACAAAACAAAAACTACATAAATCTTACAATTCGTCTAGAAAGATAATTAATTATGTCTTTTCTGAAAATAGGTAATAAGAATTAATTTTAAGAAAATAAGAGTAAGCTATTATAGTCCAAGGGGAAAAGTTGTATGGAAGTCCCCTTGATTAAGAAGGTTCTCGACTGATTCCTCCTGCTTTTTAACACTAAAGAAGTGATTATCATATATGAAATATAATTTCACTCATTCTATGCTCCTATGCCTTCGTTTTTTCAATAACTTGTGTTACAAAAAAAATATCATCACTAAAGACGTCTATTGTGAAGATTTAATAAGCATTTATAAAAAAAAGAAAAACATAGAGGCATATTATTACTATTTATTATTCTATGGTTAGAATTTCTTTTACATTTAATTAATTTTCGAGGAGGAAATCGTCGAGAGACCTCGAATTTTGGGATATTTATACGCAATTTTTAGCGTTAACTACTGTTTTCCTTATCGCATGGTAAGTATTTGCCAATGCATAACAGCAATCGTTTTTTCTAATACCTATTTCTCAAATGTCCTTCAGAATGACATTTAAATTTGGAACGCCAAAATGGCAACAAAAAATTCTATCAAGAATAATTTCAAAAAAAAATTAAGGCATAACTAACTTATTTGCTCCAACTTTCGTTCGGCTTTTTCACAGTGGTGTATAAAACAGAGTATTTTCCTCGAGGAATAAAGTGTTTTAGCCTTAGGCTTCTTACCATATCATCTTAATTAAATGCAATATGCTTCATTTCGCTCAAAATCCTATATGCTGCCCGTGACAAAAAACGCTGGTCCATCCCATAATCTTGGTACTGTTTTACATGCTCCTGTGTCTCATAGAGAGTCAAGTTAACACGACCCAATAATTCAATGGATTAATAGCCATGTCTTATTTTGAAAAATGTTATGTGGTTCGTTAGGAACTTCTGATGGTACCTAATGCATTTGTCCTTATGGCCACGTGTTTGCAGTCAAGTGCTTATAATTGTTATTGACTAGCATCGCCTAGTACCGATATGTGACACCAATGAAGAAATATAATATACCCAGCTTCCGCAGATACGTATTAGGTAGGTACATTATAACTAGGTTTATAAACGCGAATCATAAAAATCAATTTGTTTAATTATACGATAAGTTATTTTATTCATAGGTTGCGTTGTTTCATAGATAGTTAAATGTTATAATAGTAGAAATAATATAAAAAACATATAACTTATGATAATTAAAATCCTACTCACTTTGCTATCATCAAAAATCTATAAGTACTTACTCTACTGTTGCGCGGGAGACTTAGTCCTGTGAAAATTTTGAATACTGAAACCATGCTAAAAAACTTTTTGTATGTTGATAAGTTTTATACCAATTGAAGTTTATTTTGCCAGTCTGTCAGCAAACAAACAACTATTTGCAAATTTGCTCGTCTTTATACCTAAATATATACTCTTTAAGAAAGTTCTCCACATAAGTATTACCTACGTTTAATAAATGATAGCCGGCAGTAGAATCTTAAGACCTCGGAGATAGCAACGTCAGTTCAGACTTTGTTGCTACAAAGGTCGGTTTGGGCAGGAAATGATTCGGAAATATCATAAAAATGTAAATGAGGCTAATGACTCTCAATTGTAATTATCACCCTTTACTTGATTCATCGTTCTTACTTTCCAAGAGATGTTTAAGTAAATATTATAATGATTAAAGATACCTACATACTTAGTTAATTTCATTCCATTCCACAGCTCCAGTTATATCTATTTATATGCATTAGATATTTTATTTTAACTAATTATCTGTTTTAGTAAGACTTTTATTGGGATATGTTGATAATATAACTTTTGCTATTAACCTTTACAGTTTTACGGAGAATATTTATAGAAGATTCCCACTTATTACCAAACTGTCATTATGGTAATAACAGAAAAAAAAATGGTTGCCTGTAAAGTCGGTTTTACGGGCGAAGATTTTACGTGACAACGTCTTTTTCTCGGTAGAATATTTATTGATATGAATATAATTAAATTGCACAATAGGAACAAGGAATTTAATGAAAATAAGAATTGCACAAATTTTAACTATAGAAATATATTTTGTTTACTAAAACATTGTACATGTAAACTTAAACTTAACACGAGAGACTCATCGTAACGTTACCGAGCGTTACACTTTTTCATAAGTGACTCCCAGCCGCAACCTAATTTAAGACGTTGTCACGTCAAAAACGTAATGATGAATGTATAATTACAGCTAAGTAACGCAAAGACAAGATGTATAGCATTTTCTAAAAACTGGGGGTAATCATCTCTTACTAAATTATGATCCGAAAAAATGTCCTCTACAATGTTGTTGGAGTTGAAATTACGTGCTTTTGCACGTCTCTCCAACAACATTCCGAAATGATTTTCGAAGTCGAGATGACATGAAGCCGGTTAGGGTGAATGCACGCACGAATGTAGTTTTCCACAATCAAGCGGGTAGCTATACCCACTTATATGCTATAAAATCAGCGACAATGCCAGTGTTCAACCTAGATCCGGTCAAGATAACCTTTGTATTTTTCTTATTCTTCTTTTATAGTTGAACGTTTAGGTATACAATTTGTATAGGTTCTTAGTCTATAGTGCCGACTCAATTGTCGAAGACTCCATCTAAACTATTGAGCACAGATAGTCTGTCTGGACAGGGGGCTGATAATTATGTTCAAGTCCCAGTTTTAAGTCTCATTCGGATTAAAATCTAAAATCACAAATATTCCAATTCTTAAACTAGGATTTTATAGATATCATCATAGAAAGCAAAAAAATCTCAATGGATATGACTCTTATAAGACGAAGCAAGACAAACTAAAGTCAGTTAGAGAAATATTAAAGTTTTGGCAAGCTCTCATCCTATTTTAGATTAATGTATGAAGTCACAACTCTTATAACATTTTAAAGGAAAACCTTCATATGCAAATTGACATCAAACAGTAATTAGCATTATCTATTTAAGCAATGTTTATTGATGACGTAGTGCTAAAAGTCATTCTTAGAAGCGATTAATTAATGTACCTACGCTGGGAGGCTTGGCCACTGATAAAGACACATCGCGGCGAGACTGTGTCCGTTTCATACAACTTATTATCAAGCTATGTCAACAGGGTTAAGGGTGAATCCTCGCACGAGTGTCACCAATCTACATGTCTATATAATTAACATATCTATCAACCGACAGCTGAGTAACATGCTATCGTATCTCTTTTGAACAACGATTACTTTCCAAGAAGGTCTAAAGTCGATAGTAACTTTCCAGCTTTGTCGAGAATGGGCATGTATAAAAATTAAAATAAAATAACTTCACCTACCAGCTCGAAAAATAATGTTATTATTATTTTAATTAGTGTTATTAAAATATTTATTAGGTTTCACAAAATTTGATTTTAAATAGAAATATTTAAAATAAATATATTACAAAAATATAATCATCATTTCAATTTGTATAAACTTAGAAACATATAAATATTTTTATAAAATTCAAGATACATTGTGTGAAATTGGGCCCCACGGGGTAGGGGAATGGGTCAGGGTTTATAATAGGCAACGGCACGGGTGATTCTGGTATATAGTGTATGGTGGCCACTTAACATCAGGCGGGCCATATGTCTGTTTGCCACCCTTATAATATTTTAAAGTCTGTGTATACATATATATTTTTTATACCTAAATAGTAGAGTAGTATTGATAGATCCGCTATGTCTCTGTACAATCGATTCCCTAACTTGACAGATTGGGTGTGTGGGTAACCTTCTTTAATAATGAAACATCAACTATCGTTGCATCATTAAATAATATAAGGAAAATAGTGATCATCAAAAATTCTATAACATCAACATCTTATTTTGTTACAAAGTCCAAGCCTTGAAAAACGAATAGCTGTAACGCTAAGATAACCAGCAAAATATTTATTTTCGTAATGAATTAGGTATGTTCGCCATGCGCAATTAATTGCACCACAAATAATAACAAAAATAAATTTCACTATCGTAAATATAATTTCTTCATGTTCTTAACTCAAAAGATTTTGCGAAATAAGACATAGGTAGACCCACTGTTCCTTTCTTTTGATGCGGTAATAACTAAACCTTTGATGACAAAGATGAATCTGCATTAAAATGCCTATACTCGCAACATACATTTAAGATAACATAATTAATATTATGCATCAATTAACATGTAAGTAAATTACATACTTGACCTTCGCAGATAATCAAAGCAAACGCGGTGCTTGATTTAGTTTGCATCTCATTTTGTGTTACACACTCTCTTTACTCGTGCGTTTATTTGATATAGATAAAGTAACATACCCTTCGATCAACGAAGAACATACCTAATTAATTTTGCATCTTGAGTATAGCTTAATAAATAACAGCTTAATAGAATAAATATGTATTTCTTAATATTACACTATTACAGGTAAAAGTTTTGAAAAAATATTAAATATAACTAGCAACAAAAAAACGGACATGTGCTGTTCACATGCGATGGAAGTGAAACCTACAAAAATGTGAACCCGTAAAAGTCCTTCATGACTAGATACTGTAAAATACTGGGCAAAATTAAATATTCTTTATTTATTTATTCATTACATATCACATTCACAGAAATAAGGTGGAACATAAAAAATACAGTAACCATGTGACGCCCTGCAAGGGACAGCAACTTTAGAGGGTTATTATCTATTTAAAATACATTATTATACAATTGCACAATATAATTTATAAATTAAGTTTCAATCATTCTACCCATACATTGGTGTCAATTCTAGCATGACTCTCCAACCCAAATCTTAATTCGACGACAGTGTATCCTCCAATACAGAATGAAAAGGTTTAGAGAATCATGCCAGAATCGACACCATTAATTCATTAAAATATTATTATTTATTCTTCATTTAAATACATTACTAATTTTAATTCTTAAGAGTCTGAAGCATTCCATTGGCTGGTTAATTTGTCATCGAAAAATTCATTTAAGTCATAATAACATTTGGCAGTAAGAGTCTTTTATATGTTTGATAAATTGCGTCGGTGTGTTATAGTTTTTTAGATAGTTAAGAACATGGTTATATATCTTAATCATCAATATATGGGGGCTAGACGTTACTTATTTCATTTTAGATATCGGTAATCTAAATTTATTTAAGTTTCTATTATTCTTTTTATTATTTTTTAGTGGCGAATAAAATTCTGGATGTTTTATAATAAATTTACAAGACTCCAGAATATAGATGGAAGCTAAAGTTAATATGTTATACTTTACAAAAAAAGATCTACAGGATTCCATTTGGTCAATGTTAGCCAGTATTCGTATACATTTTTTGTGTCACATGAGTTTCCCCACAATACAATTCCATACGAAAATATTTTATACGCGTACGCATAATAAGCTACAATAGCGGACTGAAAGTCGCTAGCACGTTTTAATTGATGGAGTGCTTAGGTATATAAAAGATGATAGCTTATTTGTTATTTTTTGGATGTGCTGTTTCCTATTCAAATGTGTGTCTAATTCGGAGTAGCGGATTCTATTCTTATATTATATCGAAAAATAAATAACAGCTTAATAAAAGCAAAAAAACAACTAAAAAAATAACCGAGCTCAGGATCGCACCACCGAGTAAGTTGGTGCCGGCCCCAAGTCCTTACCGTTTGGCTATCTGTCCCTTGCAGAGGGTTTCAAAATTACGGATACCTTGTGTCAAATACTGTCGCTTTTTCGTTTAATCGAGTTCCAAATCACAACAGTGCTAAAGAAGTTTTCACTTCAAAAAGGAAAATGATATTTGTATCAATATATTTATCGCTTCTATATTCGATGTGAAACGAATTTATAAATTCTGTTAGGTAGGAAAAACAAAAATTGACAATAATTCTTTTGTTTTTACCTCAATTCATTTTAGGCAAAAAATATGGTGCCGCTAAATTTAGTTTAGATGAGGTTCTATAGTATCGACAGTTCTCTGGTTAGGTGATCATCCCATAGCAATTTAGTGCCGCGTGACCGGCGCGGGGTGCGACAGGATAGGTATTATTCAATTTTGATGAAAAGATCGCTTACAAATGGCAGTGACATTGAGCAGAATATAATACGTTCTCACGCGCATTCTAAAGTACAATTTAATATAAATTTTAGTTAGTTGCTTCAGTATAGTACATCAAAAAGTGTTAACAAATTTTCTCGATTTTAAGTTTAAACGCCAACATTTCAATATTAATGAAAGATTTATTAAATTGCTTATTATTGTTTTAGTAATGGAGAATGAAAGAAAAGACGCCGAAGCCCCTAAACAAGGCGAGGATCTGCTGACTAAAACGATCGGGGCTATTGGAAAGTGGCAAATATGGATATGCTTTGTAGTTTTCCTGGTCAAGTTTCCTGTAGCCTGGCACCAGATGAGCATCATCTTCCTTGCTCCACCGATGAATTTTACGTGCGCCGATAACCATTCGGCTGGAGAATTCGATAATGTCTGCCATGAAAATTGTACAGACTACATGTACGATCACAATATATTCCATGAAACGATCATATCGCAATGGAACCTCGTATGTGATAGAGCATGGCTCAAAAATCTTACGCAGACTATTTTCATGCTGGGCATTCTAGTTGGGAACATGGTATTCGGTCATCTATCTGACAGGTCAGTTTTGTAACTCAAACACTTATAAAGCGATTTATGCTTGTTATATTAGTTTATTTAGCAGCTCGAACAAATTGGCACATCCTGTTAGCTACTGCAAGACGAAATTACATTAGGGTTCCGGATGAGATTACTTTAACAAAATGGGTCCTTAATAGGAGGACATCGTTCTATTTCGGTACAATGTTTTCGTAGATGTATTGTATTACCACTGTATATTCAATTTCAAAGTTTTATTTATTATTGTTGTATAAGGACCGTGATCTCCATCAACAAAGTGTTGTAGATAACCCAATTAGACTTTGCGATAACCGTCTTCTTCCTCATTATATTATTCTCATTTTGTTGCCACATGACTATTAATTTTTACCTATTACTTTTATAAATATCTATATATATATCTGTCTTATAATAGTATGCAGTATTGTATTAATATCTTTAAGTAACAATTTAACAAATTCACATAAATACCTAGAAGACTAATTAGAGACGTCATTGACGAAATTTGTTTTAAATTTCAGATATGGTCGTAGAATTCCATTCCTCGGTGCTGTATTCCTGCAGTTGATTTCTGGTGTAACGACCGCGTACTCCGTCAACTGGTACATGTTTACTGCTCTCCGATTCTTGCTCGCCGTCGCCACCGGAGGCACAATGGTTACCAGCTTCGTCCTGACGATGGAATTGATCGGGGCCAAATACAGAGACACCGTTGGCATTATCTACCAAATCCCATTCAATCTTGGACATCTATCGCTGCCGGTATTTGGATACTTCCTCCGTGATTGGAACATGTTCCAGCTAGCTATATCACTCCCCTCTGTACTATTTCTCAGCTATTACTTTTTACTACCCGAATCGCCAAGATGGCTACTCACAGCTGGCAAAACTGAGGAGGCTGCTAAAATTATGGAAATCGCAGCTAAAAGGTAATTAGGACATTTTTAATTAAAATCCGTTAGTCAAAATAATAATGAGGTTTATTTCTGTCATAAAACCATAGTTTAAAAATTGATTTTACACATAATAATTCATTACGTAATTACTTCCAGAAATAACCTACCCACGGAAGGCATACAAGCGTCCACTCAGAAAATGACAGTGGAATTAACTCACAAGCATGAGGAACACGCCTCATTTCTTGCGTTGTTCCGCACGCCCAAATTGCGCGCACGCACTCTTGCAATTTGTTTCAACTGGGGCGTATGTGGGCTTTGTTTCTTCGGTGTCTCACAGTACATCGGCCACGTGTCTGGGAACATCTTCACTAATGTCGCAATTTCGGCTTCTATACAGGTGAGAGATCATCATCATCATCATCAGCCTATTAATGTCCCCACTGCTGGGGCACAGGCCTTCCCTATGGATGGAATAGGGAGATTGGGCCATGACCCACCACGCGGGCCCAGTGCGGATTGGTGGGTGCTAACGACTGCAAATGCAGCCGGGACCAACGGCTTAACGTGCCTTCCGAAGCACGGAGGAGCTCGAGATAATAAATTTTTTGGTCACCCATCCAATGACCGACCACTGCGAAAGTTGCTTAACTTCAACGATCGCAGCCGAACGCGCTAGCCACCTGCGCCATCGAGCTCCTCGATGGTGGAGAAGGTGAGAGATATGTCCTACATAATATAAGAAGTCGTTTGTTGCGACTATTAATGGTAATGTCAAGGACATCCTCTCATGAGCGTATGTAAAATTTTGTCTATTCGATATTAATGATCTAATATTTTGAAATATGAAATTAGAAATAAAATTATTGCATTTTTTTATATCAACGAAAAGTTAAACAGCCTCGAACCAGTTTTAATCAAACTGAAGTAGTTTTATCTAAAGAATTACTTATCCGAACAATTCTTTATCACAGCTAGCAGCAGCACAGTCTAGCTTCGCAAAAAACATTTGACCTTACTTATCTAAACAATAATTTATAACCCAAATAATATCTAGGAGAATTGTGAGTAACATTTATTACCTTTTCTTTCAGGTTCCCGGTACATTGATCTCGATTTATGCGAACCAGCTTCTTGGCAGGAAAATTACTCTAATTAGTTCTAATTGTGTGACTGGTCTAAGTTGCCTACTCATCACCGTAGTACCTCAATCGGGCGCGAGCAACCTCGCACTTGGCTGTATTGGCTTGTGGGGCATGAGCATAGCTTTTGCTACCGTTTATTTGTATGCCGGAGAACTGTTCCCGACAGTAGTAAGGAATTCGGGAGTAGGATTGTCATCAACAGTTGCCAGGATAGGATCCATGATTGCCCCTTTTGTTGCAACTCTGGCGCACACAAGCGCTTGGCTACCACCTTTAATTTTCGGCATAGTACCATTGATCGGTGCTGCACTCTGTATCATCTTACCTGACACACGTGGAAAGAAACTCCCTGATACGCTAGAAGAAGGCGAAGCGTAATACATTTTTGCTGCTAAAAACCATGACAATAAAGTGTTGAGTTGAGGCTATTACGATGATAAAAAATAAAAGTATTCATTTACCTGTTAGTCATAAATAAGTAGGTGATAGTGTGGAGAAATTGTTTAAATCCAGGCCATACTAAGAAACTAATGGAGGCCAATGAATTTATACAAATATTTGTTATATGTTGTATCGTAGTATAAATTGTAAATTTACCCCTTTACAATGATGCTCTCTGTATATAGGCTGTGATGATTATGTTAAAATAAAGTAATTAAATCGTATGAAAAATTGTGTATTTTTAAATCTTTTTCCTGAATTGTTATTTAAGAACTAAGTTTTTGAAAACCTTACTTGCTGCCTCTTAATAAAATAAATGCAATACTAAATTATTTTTTCGGGAACGATAATAAAATAAACAATACTTAATATGTAAATGCACATGGTTCTTCGATAAGGTGGAAATTAATCCAGAAAATCAGCTATGCCTTAAATATCTCTCTTGAAACTACTTATATCTTGATATCTTTAGCTTCATTATTAGACAGATACCTAATAGACACTAAGCTAGATCAGTATAGAATGACTGTGACTGGTATAAATTTTAAATATCGACAAGTTATCTTCGGATAAATAAAGATAAAGGCTTTATCATTATTACTGTACTAAAATTCAAGTAGATTTTAAGGCAATGCGTAAACTGTGAAGGTGTTATTATGAAAAATAACTGAACGTAGAAACTAGAATCACAAAATTTTAAATCTAATAATAATAATCTTTGTTGTAATATACTATAAAAGACACACAAGTAAATTAAAAACATAATAGACAGAACGTACACAATATAGGGGGCCTTATTTCTAGGCAGCAATCTCTTTCAGGCAACATATAATAGAAAGATAAATAAATGGGAAGGAGAAACGGAGGGGTGTAACAGTAAATAATAATAATATGAATAGCAGGAAAACAGATATAACTAAGGACGGAAAGAGAGACGATGAAGGAAAAGTTTAACAGCATTGTTAGGATAGGAAATAACTCTGAACCTCATCCTTAAACGAGTTCAGAGTGCGAGCTTTTCGAATAGTTTCTGGCAATGAGTTGCCAGAGAGTTGAGCACAGAGAAGGAATAGGAAAATAAATCAGTAGAATGACTTGGATTTTCAAGAGTTAGGTTAGAAGAAGATCGCAAAGTGCGCTGTGAAGTAGAAGAGAGAAACGAGAAGCATTCTTTTAAGTAATGAGGAGAAGTGGGTAAGGAAAGTACGGAGTAAGGAAGCGCAAGACGTAGCGTATGTAAGTCCCTGCGCCGACGAATAGGATGGTTCCCTATTAAGTTTAGACCTGGTCATATTTACGAAGGTTGACAATAATCGGAAACATAAGTTCTGCAGACATTCTAGCTTATTTAAGAGTTCTTTAGAAACATATGTATAACAGGCATCAGTCAATGATAGACAGTAAAAGAGTCTGCGCCAGAGTAATTTTGGTGCTGGTGGGTAAAAAGTTACGTCTCAAAGGTGGTTATTAACGATGATTGAATAGGCAAACTAAGAAAATTTACTACTTACTTTAAGAAATTGTAAATTATAACTTTTTTTTTTGTTTCTTAGGTTTTCACGCACATCACTCATTAAATAAAACTAGTTTTTACGGGTTAATGCACGAAACTTTATTTATTTATTGACGTTTCGCAGCCTTTTCAGGTCTGCATCGTCAGAATAATGATTTTTTATTTAAAATTGTCGAGCTACCTTCGAAAGACTTATATTGAGCGTTCGGTTATTTCATTGGAAGATTTTTAAAATTTTATTGTCTATGTATGAATTTATTATTTAATTTACTTAATAAAGTATTTTATTTAAAATTCTTGTTTGTAATTTTGAGTTTATTTATTTGACCCTAACTACCGTAAACTACCACCGGTTCCAAAATTGGGAGACCTTCCTGAGAAGAACCGGCGAAACAAACTCAAGAGAAGCTTTCTATCTCCTTCTTATGTTAAATTATGCAAACAAAAAGAACTAATAGTATCTGATGGTCTTGCAGTGTGTGCTCGGGGTTGGGATTTTATCTCCTGTATAATAGGTTCCCAAGCTGGTGGTATATACCAACCATCTTCCCTATTGAAATTTGGATATTTTTTAATCTCAATAGCCTCGCGCATCATTCGAGGAACGAACCGCCGCTCAGCGGCTCTTATAACTTTTTCTGAATTCTAATGAACAGATGGAGGGGGAGGGCATGTCACACTTTTTCGTGCGTGCAGCCGGCGTTCATCAATTTATAAGACGATATTACGTCAATAAAAAAACTGAAAAGTAAAAAAAAACTCTACTGTTGAAAAAACGTAGGTACTTTCCGTTCCACATTGTAAAGAAATAAGCAAAGCTATAATTTTCGAGTATGTTTTAAAAAAAATACTTTAATTCCTAAGGCCGTATACAGAAAGAAAGCCGAAAGCCGATCGGCGCCGATCCTTCCTACATAAAGGAAGCCGATTAAAGCAGATCAAGCAAAATGTCGGACTCATCGGACGATGATTTGGTTTTGTTAGAAAATGTTTATTTAAAAATGCGAAAAACAGCTATACATCCTATAAATAGAGAAAGGAAACGTTTCGGAGAATACCATCATTTATTTGTTTCTTAGGTTTTCACGCACATCACTCATTAAATAAAACTAGTTTTTACGGGTTAATGCACGAAACTTTATTTATTTATTGACGTTTCGCAGCCTTTTCAGGTCTGCATGGCTGCGAAACGTCAATAAATAAATAAAGTTTCGTGCATTAACCCGTAAAAACTAGTTTTATTTAATGAGTGATGTGCGTGAAAACCTAAGAATAGAATAATGATTTTTTATAAAAAATCATTATTCTGACGATGCAGACCTGAAAAGGCTGCGAAACGTCAATAAATAAATAAAGTTTCGTGCATTAACCCGTAAAAACTAGTTTTATATACCATCATTTATTTGTAAAAAAAATTAAATTTGATGAACAAAGATTTTATACATATACAAGAATGATTCAAGAAACATTTTATTACATTTTGGATTTAGTGAAAAACCGTTTGATGAAAAATTGGGGCAATTAACATAAACAACCAATCCTTCCAGAAGAAAGACTTGTTGTCACCATTCGGTAAGTACGAAACAAATAATTTTAGCGTTTAGTTAATAAAAGATAAAGTTATTAGATTTATAAAAAGATTATAACTTAGATTGATTTAATCTAAGGATAATAATTCAAATACAAATTATTTATTATTCGGACCAGCGCGTGTCGGCGCTTATCGCCGGTCCATAGAAAAAGGATCAGCGTCAATAGATCGGCGCCGATCGGCTTTCGGCTTTCGGCTTTCTTTCTGTATACGGCCTAAGTCAGAGAACGATGTAGGTAATTAAGATTAGGTAGTTTACGCAAAAAAAAAGTGTCTCCGCGTTAACTCATTAATTGTGCAATATCTATATACTTATAATAAATCTGTAGAGATGTCAATTCTGTACATGAAATATATTTTTAAAATAACTATCAGGGGGTGATTAGTGATCGATACTGATGCCAAAAATGCAATCAGTAAATTTTTTGTCTGTCTGTCTGTCTGTGTGTATGTTCCTTATAGAAACAAAAACTACTCAACGGATTTTAACGAAACTTGGTACAATTATTCTATATACTCCTGGGCAGGTTATAGTATACTTTTCATCACGCTACAATCAATAGCAGCAGAGTAGTGAAGGGAAATGTTGGGAAAACGGGAGAAGTTACTCCATTTTTGAAGCTTCCGTCGCGGGTGCAGGCTTAATGATTAAAGTTACATAGAAATCATGTATGACGGAAATATTCTACATAAAATTGTCTAAAAAATATCCCGCAACAGCATATGTCTATCTTTTATGGTTGATTCACAATAACACGTGTAATTATATAAATAAAGTCATTCTTTATAGCACAAGCCTGAGAACAAAAACCATAGTTTACACTACAGCTCCATACCGAAGCGAAGCGAGGGCGGGCCACTAGTATATAATAAATTGATTTAAATAAAACTACTTCTAGGATCGACGTAATTTAAACGAATAATAATTCCATAATAGGTAGGTATGTTATTTAGAGCGACGTTTTAGGATATTTTGTGAATGCTATAAATCAATGTTCTTGTATGGCAGTATAGTATACGATTTTTAAGTTTCCTTTGTAACTTATAATTCACAGTTTATAATATAATACTTAGACGTCTGCGCGCTACCTAATGCAATTTTAAAGTGGCGGTAAAAAGCAGATAGCTCATAAATTCTTAGGTTTAGTAGGCGTAACGTAGACGCGTTTAAGCGCGATATTAATTAATCTCACAGACACATGAACAAACAATACTTATATTTACTTAGTAAAGTAGTTAGTGTATTTTTTTATTAAATGGTACTGCTTGCCTGCCACACAAGTTTTAAGAGTGTTATGTGCGCGGTTGATCTTGGATTAGATCTTTAATTTACTAAAAAGTGTACAGTTGTTTCAAATAAATACCGAGATTATGACAAGTGATGATGCTATAGAAAATATTATCGGTCGTTTTGGGAGATATCAAACATGGATATTAATATTAATAAATATAGGTCGCTTACCAACAGAATTTCAGCTGACAAACGTAGTTTTTGTACTACCTAACACTGATTACATTTGCCTCGATGAAGGAGTTGATAATGCTACAAATCACTGTCCCTGTGCCAATCCTCATTTTGACCGATCAACTATCGTAGAGTCTGTAGTCAGTGAATATAATCTGATATGTGAGAAGACTTATCTCGCGAGTCTGGCGCAGTCGATGCTGCAGGTCGGCATATTGTTGGGAAGTCTATTTTATGGTTTCATTTCTGACAGGTAATAATATTATAGTTTAATATCCACCACACATGAGAACGATACCAAAATAAAGAATACTTATACAGAGTGCTATTATAACTTTCTGTGACGTTTTTATAAGGTACACTTTCAAAAAGCAAGTTAAATTAGCCTTACTGAATTTGCAAACTTTAGGCATACGCACTAATTGTCGTTTTGGTGGAGGTTCTTCTGTTAGCATTCAATCTTCTTGACATTCAAATTAAAATTTATATTTTATATTATTACTTACACATTTTTTTTTAATATTGTCTACACAATTTTGTTTTTTTATGATTAATTATATACATTTATTTATTATTATTTAGAAAATTTTATTAACAAATATTGCTAGGAAAATTAATAATGGAGTAAACGATGTTCGTGTGTTGTGTTTGTGTGGG